TCTCACACACACACACCACATGCTGGCAGGATATTCGGCCTATGAGGGGCGAAGTGCCCATTGGGCCCCGACTAGTGAAAAAACCGGATGTTCTCAGGTGCACTTATGATGGGATTTTGCCAGTTACACCGAACCCAGCAGCAAGCACATCTTCACTCCCCAGGTGATCAAATTAAAACGACCAGAGTAATAATGTTCAAGCACATGTGCAAATAGATATTTCTCCTTTCTTGTGGTGGGAAGGAGATCCAACCTCTCCTTAACTTTATCATGTTTATGCGCTCATGGCAAGGGATACATAACTTTTCATTTTCAAGTTTTGCACCATTTGAAATTAGACCAGTGAGACATAAGCAGCTTATGCTTTCTATTTCATTTTTTTGTTTTCAATTCACAAGTCACAAAAATATCAGCATATGGAGTATCGAGAGACTAGGGTTTCTCTTTGTTTCTTCATATCACATTAAGAAATGGTTAGGATGTTAATGTTGTTTGAAAAAAAAGAAATATTTAGGATGTTAATGTCTCATTTGGGTTTTCTTACTTATATTGTACTAAGAAATAGCAGTGGCATCTATAATGCCAATATCTCACATGGTTCCTTTTTTCTTAGCTTGTATCAATGGATAGCTACACCCAAAGGTCCTGCAGCTGCTTCTTAGAAATCCACAACATAGTAAATGCACATACTCCATTAACCACAGAAATAGGGCGATGGCATCCATAAAATAAGAAATCACGTATTATCAGACAGCTATAAACTCATCAATTCAAGCCAAAGATGGAGCAACTCAATGATCAATAGCACTCATGCCCATGCTTTTGTAAACAACCAGACTGGTTTGCAACTAGTAACAACTCAAAACAGTCTTTATTGGTAAGAACATACACGCACAAATGTAAAGGTGAGTTAGATAAAGGGATATATTGACAATTTTTTTAAGAATAGAATCATCTTATGAAAATCTTTGGTAGAAAAAAGGTATGATTCCAATGTAAACATGAATTAAAATTAGAAAAAAACACACATTCATTAACTTACATTCAGGCATTCAAGAGACCTTTAAAAAAATCTCTTCCTGCCAGCAAACCTTAAAGAAATCTATTTTTGCCAAATATAGTTTAAAAATCTAGGACAATATAAAACAGAAAGAAATAATAGAAAACAAATTCAAAATGACAAAGATATAATATTGTTTACTTTTTTCGTTTATACTTTCTTCTAAATTCTAGAATATTTCCTGTTTTCTGTAGTGCTTCTTTTCATGAGAATTTCTTAGATATTACAAGAGAAGAAGCAAATATATAAAAAAATCTCTAGAGCAATCACCATGCGAAGGAATTTTCCTAGAACAAAGTTTCGTCCTAGTGCTCCAAAAAAGTGAGAGAGGCCAAATTTGGCCATCTTGTAAACATTCACAAATGTACCCGACTTCAAAAATTCTTGTGGCCAAATTTCTAAAATCACCATTTAGCCATAAATCACAAGCCACTGAAAATAAAATCTGAAATCCAAAACCATAAAAAGACACAGGAGAGAGACGATATCTTTGACCATTTAGAGTTGCTCAATATACAACAAGCATACTTATATGCATTCCAGATGTAGCTGTAACTAATCCGTAATGACAGTAGAGAACTCTTAAGACTTCTCATAAAGATCCAAACCTCAAAATGAGTGTAATCTGCATTAAACAAATGATAACAAAGTCCCGGAACACGCATTAACTTCAACTTCTGGACCCCCATAAGCACAAAGATAGTAAACACTATGAAGCCACTATCAAGGGAAGCTACTCTTTGAAACTCCCCCACTTGTATAGCCCATTTCCACACTGTGTACCTCCAACTAATAAAACAAAAATGGTCCCTGGTCTTCTTCACGACTATCTCTTTTCTGTCATTCTTTTCTTTTTATTGTTCGTGATCCTCAGATTTGTGAAAGGCTTGAATTAACACACTCAATAGAATATTGAAAGAGTACGGTGGTGTCTCAAGGATTGGCAACTTACGCCAACAGACCACAACCAAAGATCCAATTCTACGCTTAGAACCTGTATCAAGGCAACATATACCTGCAATTAGCACAAGAAATGATACGTAGTATAATGGTACCATGAAAAGAAGTATATTATTCTCCTAATAATCTGATAATATCATTTTGGGGACTTGTTCATAAAGCTTAAACCTTAAGGAGCAATGTATGATAAAAGGACAAGGACAAAATAAAAGGGAACTTTTCAATAACTTAAAACTGAAATATATGGGAAGGAGGGTTGGAATTGGACACAAAACAACAAAAATATAAAGAAAAACAGCGAATACAGAGTGAGAAACATCTCAAAGAAAGTAATGCTTAAACTCTACTTCTATTTCTGAAATAGAAGGTCGCCCTTACATCAAGAAATGTCTCTTTGTTATCCATTACAAACAATCAATGTTTTCTCTCCCTCCCTCCCTCCCTCACTAGCATAAAAATTTAACCACATACAAGTACTAGACAAGAAACCCTATGGGGACAAATATAAATATAAAGGTTCAAATAGAAATTGCATAAGCACATCGTCTTATTTTCCTTAAGGAGACACGTAAATAATTGAGAAAGAGCACCTGACTTGGCAAACAACCCAATTGATTAAACAAATAGTTTTCATAAGATTCAAACATTCATTATGAGGGCACATCAATCAAACATTTTTTTTAGATACATAAGGAGCATGATGACCATTGTTCTTTGATAGCCCTAATGGAGATTTAAAAAGTTCGGAACCACCAATAATGCAATATCAAATTATCACCAAGTGGAAACTTAGCTATGTAACTAAGAGGAAGAAGAAACAGACGGAGTAGAGCTTCAAAACAGCACAGAAGGTAACAAGAAAAAGTAATCATGCGAAGATGCCAACAAGTATTGCAGAGAAGTAATTAAGAACAAAACAGATCTAGCAAACTGAATCTCTTACAATCAATCGCCCTATACATACTCTGAAGAGAAGCTGAAACAATGAAACAATCAAGAATTTGACCAAATAGCTAATCAAACTTATACTTCTTCCACCCACAAATCATTTAAAAATTTGCCCCTCCAAACCATTATTGATACACGAGGATTGGCAACATTCTTCAATTGAGAGCATAATGAAACTATTTCATTTCATCAAATTTCAAATTCAGGGCACCATTCAGGTGAGGAATCCAAAAAAACAGTTACTTTGGCATCTAAAATTGCCCTAGAAAGCTCAATAACAACCACTGATGGAAAGAAGGCAGGAAAAATACCTGTTTTCCAACCTTTTTGCTAAGCAAGTCCTTAATATTTTCCACAGCATAAATGGTGCAAGCTCGAATTTCTACTTCCTCTTCACTACCAGCACTTATCTCCATGTTGGCATCAATAGTCTTGGCAAGGGACGAACTGTATCTCAGAACACCAAGCTGCCTAAGCACAGCTGGAACAATGTAATCCGCAAATATGGTTAGAGAACCTATATCATTGAAAGCACCATATCCTTGACCCTTGAACGCACCCCATAAATCTCCTGCAAATATCTGAGCTCTCTTGTATAGAAAAACCTGGTGTCCTTTATATACGGTGTGATCGCGAAAACCTAGAACATTGCAAGAAGAAGAACTCATCATAACAAAAAAAAAACTAAATCACAAGATGTGAAATCCCTTGTTCTATGTAATGAAGACATCAATTGTAAAATTTGCAATTAGGACATGCCATACTTCACCACTCCATAACAACATTCGAACATCATAGCATAGTTGAATGCACGCGCATGATATCCACGTTATTAATTCATACATGCAAAAGGCATTCTTCAATTAATCGAAGAAAAGGTACTGCAACAAGGGCAAAAGATTTACATGCACTTGCAAAAGAAACCAGATGAGGAATTCTTCAGAAACAGCCAGTGGATGTGGTCATATACAAGAAGGCTTTTTTGTTGTTACATGGCTGCATTTCCTAGAGGCTTAAGAAGACCTCTCGCACATTGCCCAAGCATGATAAAAAGCAATATGATAAATGGATAGGCTTCTGAGGCGTGTCTGAAAAGCAAGTATCATATAGATCATTTACTTTAGATACAACTAGCAACATCAATGAAAAAAATTGATGGTGCAGTTTTTAAAAACAACCAAAAGGGCTTGAGGACTTCTCATGATGACTCCAGGCTAATATGAAGCGAAAGGGTGCGTGATACAAGAGAAGTCACGAAACAAATTTGATATGTCATTGACTTCAATTCCGGATCCCTTATTCCCCAAAGGGGCTTGCTAAAGTTTGATGGCAGACATCCCCTAAAGAGATGCCAGATTCAAGGCCAACATGAAGCAAAAGGGTGAATGATACAAGAGAAGTCATGAACAAATTCGATATGTCATTGACTTCCATTCCAGATCCCCTATTTTCCAAAAGAGTTTTGATGCAAGAGAAATCATGAAACAAATTCGATGTCATTGAGTTCCATTCAAGATCCCTTAATTTTCCAAAAGAGGGTTTTGATGCCTTGATTGCAACATTACTTCCAGATAATACTTGAAACATTCTAAAAATACAAAAATAAAGGTATGATGGACTTTTCCAAACAAAAAACGTTTATACAAGGGTGAGGCCCTAAACAATCAAATTATGAAGCACCCCAAAAATTCACTAGAAGAGGTTGTTTCCATGCTCAAAAGCCCTAAATTCGATCATCTCGACCTCAAGATGTATGGACATGAGAAAATATATATTTCAAGTATTGAAAATAATATATCTTGTAATTTATTATCTACATCGTAAATTTTCAAGATTTTCAAGTGTTAACAGATCTGCTCGATCTACATTATTCTGAATCTTTATATTCTGAATCTTTAAATTTTATAATTCAAGAGAGATAAATTTTAAGGCCATCATAAAGATTTTTTATACTAAAACAACATATTTCAGCACTATTTGATGTTGCGCCTTACTTTGATTGTTTAGGGCCTCAGCCATATACATACCACACCCTTTCCAAAATTGGTTTGAGTAGAGTAGTAAATAATGGCAATAACTACGCCCTCCCCTCAGCCTAGGATTGATTGCTGGCACTTGAAGCATGGAGGATACTTAAAAGACAAATATTCATATCCGTTCATTATATCAATTTAAAATCAAGGAAGCTCCCTAGTATGCCACCAGGACCTACATTCTTCTCAGCCCAATTTCCTTCTTCTTTTTGTTTTTTCTTTCTTTGTTAAATCCAGTACAAGTTACACTCAGGAACTAGCAGCCTATAGACTTTGACTGACAGGTCAGAATCTTTTATTAACCCAGCTCAATATACATATTGAAAGCCTTAGCTCAATAAGTGCTCCAAAGAAAGCCCTACAAAAGTGAGGCAATATTTTTTTCATCAATTCAAAACCTCTGTTGGTCTGTTTAGAACTTCTTTAAAGATTTACAAACCCACATTACCAAGGCACCATCCCCCACATCTGTGGACAAAGCAGCCACTAAGAGTTGAAACATTCCTGTTGTCACTATTTGCCCTCAATTGCATCAATAACCATAAGCCAAGAGCAAGTGAGATAGCATTCGCATGAAAAGTGATTCTTTTCAGATGATAATTATAAAAACAATGAAAAAT